TTTTTTTTGGGGTCACAAGAAGACAAGTACGGAAGTAAGTGACAAACATGACAAGAAGAGTATAGCAATTTCTGAAACCATAAAGAAATAAAACTTTTCCATACCTTTTCCTCTGTTATATCAATTAGATTAAGACCCTCCTTCAGATTTTCAAATCTTTCACTTGCCCAATCAAATGATGGACATCTCTTATACAGATAATATAACATACTGAGTTCGAGTTCCTCCAAGAGATGCATCACATCCTTTTTAAATGATTCAAATTTGCTGTGTTGACGAGCTGTTTGGTCAATATCACGGGCTACCAAATCCTTCAGTTGTTCAACTAAACGATGTTGATCCATTAGGCGAAACTTTCGCAGAATTTCCAAGCATGGAACTAGACAATTTTGACAACAAAGAATTATTTACTTGAAAGTGACACAGGGTTTGTATGGCGAAGAGAGAATCACTTCGGAAAAAAAGTCAAAAGAATATATCAGCTTCTGATATTTGGTGTGCTAAAATGGGCAAATGTCATGGAGAATGAGAACTTAACAAGCTACAATCTCCGCCTCAAAACAAGAAAAAGTATTATTCTAACATTACAAAAATTCAACAAGCCATGTCAACACTCATTTTAAAACAAAAAATTAAAAGTCAAAAGTCAAAAGAATCTGGCACTATTGTAAGGCTTCTGCTGAATCATTAGTTACGAGAAACCATATATGTTGAATTCGAAAATAGCTAAACTGTAGAAGCTCCGACATATGAAGAACTTTTCATTTAAGGAGAACTCAAACTCATTGATACACTAATGAGAAATTTCTTGTTAGTACAGTACTCTTAAAAACCTTTTAAGTAAATAAAGTAAATCATCAAGTTCCAAAACGTAGCTCGAGTATACATATCAACAACTATATAATGTGTGAAATATACCACATCTCAGAAAATGTTACTCTTATAATGCTAAGACAAGAAAAACCCAAATATATAAGAAGCTATGTTGTTGAGACTCTTTTACAAATTGTGGGCTGCATGTTGGATCCTTTAAAATAGTGCACTTTTGGAGGACCCAACACGGGTGCAACAACATTTTGAAGAGTCTAAGCAAAATAGGATACAAGTGAAGTGATTACCTCCCGAAGTGTATTTGGTGTGGAAAGATGTCCTAGAATATTTCAAATAACAGTACATGAAAAGGCTTAGTGGATCAGCAGATTGTAAATCGCCAGCTTTAGCCATTCTCATGTACACACTTGAGTCTCGGATTCGTCTTAGGTTGTGTGAGACTTCATAAGCTCGAGGCCGATCTATCCTTCCACTACTAATGCACCAGAGAGTCAAGTCAAGCAATTCATTGGCTCTACCATCATCGCTCGGATGGACTCCTTGTGTTGCATTTTCCTTCTAACTGTTTTTTCAAGTTCCTGTGCACCAATTGGTTCCTTGGTTAAAACTTCAATCATGATTATTCCCAATGCATATATCTCTGCTGCTTGTTTGTCATGGGTTGCCTCTGTCCTACCTGCCAAGAAAACAAAAAACGAAAAAGATTTTGGTTACTCCAAGATGCATGAAGATCAAGGCAAGGCAACTAATTCAATGCTCATAGTAAGAACTGTTGACTAATATTTGTTTTGAAATAAATCCTTTTTCCAAGAATCATACCCATAACCTCTTTCTCTCCCCAACCATATGGTCATGTTCACTGACAGCCATATCTCATATCTTAGTAGAATCTTAAATTGATTAAAGTGAAAATCACTTTTTAACATGCTAAATTTGAACAGGTCGTTTTTCATTAAAACATAAAATTCTTACCTTTTGCTTCTCTTTCAACGTAGTTGCTATGGCAAATTGCCTCGTCTTTAGAAACCTCATGAGTGAGGCTGAAATCACAAAGTGCTGCTCTCCACTCCTGAAGGTGTATGTTTAATATACAAGTTTAGTTTTTTGGTATACGGGGATGATTTTTTTGATCTAGATCATTGAGAATGGTGCTTACCTCATCAAGCACTATATTTTTCGGGTTCAAATTAGCATGAACTATCCGACCGTGTTCAAAATGGGTATGTATTAGATGCAGCCCGTCAAACACATCAATTAGAGTGTTTAATGCACAATCATATGTCAGGTCTGCATCAAGAAAATTATAACATATCCACACATTTGTAGAAAGAGAGATAAAACTACATTAAGCATGTGGAACCTTTGTGTTTTTAGAAGAAAAAAAAAGAAAATAAGAATAGACAACATACCATTAAGTATATCCCTAAGACTACCACCAGAATAGTACTGCATAATTAGGTAACACCTTGCATCTCCGTCGTCTCCATATCCAATTGTGGAATAAGATTATTGAATAATTTCATTCATATTTTTCTATGTCATGTACATGGCTTTATATATACATAAAAGATTGTGGAATAGAATCACCTAAATCTTTACATTAAGAGAAAGAATCAGAGATATGATATTCTAGATTACCACAATTATACTAAGATCTTAGAGGATCATATCTTGATATGAAGAATATCTTCTCATCTTAGAGGATCACATCTTTGATGACAAGAATATCTTCTTGGAAATCCTCCATCAGCCAACAGTTAGTAAGCATGGAGTTCAACAAAAAATGAAAAGTAAGCTCCAACGGGAAAAATGTGAGTTTTAAGCAGCTTGAGGGGAACAACTATGGCAAAGAAGTAGCTCAACTTATGCCACAAGATCCACCCCTGAATAGATAAAAAGAAATCAAGCAAAATCTACCTAATATACAATGCAAAGACAGAGTATAGAAGGGAGGGCGGGAAATCCGCAAAGAATTTAATAGCAGGGAAGCACATGGCACAACACTAATTTAAATTTGCCAAAAGGTAGCCCAAGGCCTCCAATGTCTTCCATCAAACAGGAAAAACATACACATTCAAATAAAATATAATGGGTAGGACCAAGTTTGCAAGACAGTTAAAACGATAAAGGTGAAATCTATTGGTAACAGATTTTATTTTACCTTTCACTCTTGCCGAACCCAAACCGTGCGCCAAAGTAGAATGCAACAGAAAGCAGCCATGAATCACTGTGAACAGCAACAAGTGATAACCAGTCTTTCTCTTGCATTCCATCACGTGCGAAGTTTATGCCCAATGCTGGCTCCGGAAGTTCTGGAGGCACCTCCTCTACAGGGAGGTTTACTTCCCATGTTTCATTAGGAAGCCCATAGAGACACAAGTTCTCCTTTTCTGAAAGTAAACATAGTTAAATCCAGAAATTGTCATAAACACTTCATAATTGATCTGCATAAGTGATCTATATAGAAAACAAGAATTGAACATCCAATGAAGGAACACACCCAACAAGCCTCTATACAAGGAAAAAGAGAGGGCAAGCTGTGAAATGAAGGGGATAAGAATGATGCAACACAAGAGAAAACTCAATTATCCTTACAACTTCCAGGCTTTAATAAACTATCTACGAAACCTTAAATAACTGTGTAATCTATCGGACTAAAAACATTAAAGAGAGATATAAACTGTCATAAAGGCCGATACAACTGTTTGAAATATAGAGGGAGTAGTCTATCGATATCATTGTCACAAAGGTCACAATGAACATTTAAGCAAATGGGATCAAAATAAATAACAGCAACGAAATAAAGAATTTAAACCAGTTCTTCAAAATAGAGTTTTTAACAGAGACTGTCGAATAAGTATAAACAGTTAGACACTGCATAAAAGAAATGCATCAAATGCTTGGGATAAAGCCACGGTATGTTTCCCTACTATATCAAATACTTCAAAAACAATTAATGAATACTGGCACAAGAAAAGCACCTCTAAAATTGCCAAATGCAAAATAAGGATTTCCAAATTGTTTTTTCACAGACCAGAAATACAGTACTCTCACCTCCTACCCCCCATCCCCACCCCACCCACCAAAACCCCAAAGAATAATGAAAAAGAGAAGAGAGAAAAAAACTTACCAAGAAAGAGAAAAAAAAGGAAAGAAAACACATACTTCAACCCACTTTAACTAAGCTGCCTCCAGACACCTTAAGTATGTATATACACCAAATGCATCAACATAAAAAATGTCATAAAGACATCAAAGTGGTTTCAACACTCCAATCATATGCACTTTTACCCATCATAAACAAGATAAATGATCAAGACCCCACTTGTGGGATTATATTGGGTATGTTGTTGTTGTTGTTGCTGTAAGCAAGATAAACAATGGTTGGAGACACTCTGCCACTGTGATAGAGAAATGATGATCATTGCTACATAAAAGAAGTTCTAACCTCTTCTTCCTTGAGAATTGACAAAAAGTCATCAAGACTACAACGAGAACAGTTCTGACATTGACATTCTCACTAAATGACACAAAATTCTAAGTAATGATCTCATTTTACAACTCATATTCTGGAATGCAGTTTGAGATCATGATAATTCTGTTGAAAATGCAGAAAAATTACTCTTTCAAAATTGAAGGCGACAATTAACTACTTAATAAAGATATGATCTTTCCATTCCTGCATGGCAGCCAAAGAAGAACATCAAATGACAAAATTATATAGGCAGTCAGAAAGCTCTAACCATGAGTTCTAGGCCACTCCTTGGGACAAACAACATTGAAGTTCCAAAACTGACACAAAGACGGGACAAGAAGCAAATTATAAGATTCTGAAATATTAAGTCACAAGTCCTATTCAAGTTGCTAAATCACTCTACCAAATTGACAATGAAATCCCAAAATACATTAGGAACATTAAACAGCAGAAATTTAAAGAAAAAACAGGAATATAAAGAAACAGTCCCAGAAATTAAAAGCTATAGCCTTATAGGAAAATATATGAGCTTGACTCTTATAGGAATATAAGAGTCACAAAGTCCTAATCAAGTCGCTTAATCACTCAACCAAATTGACAATGAAATTCCAAAATACAGTAGGAACATAAAACAACAGAAATTTAAAGAAAAAACAGGAGTATAAAGAAACGAGAAAATGATCAAAATGGTACTTAATGTATGGCTTTGATTCCATTTGGTCCTTAATGTATGGACTTGATGAAAACGGTCCTTTATGTATCATAAATTGTGATTAATTTGGTCCTTAACCCTAAAATTAATATTTTATTTTATTTTGCCGTCAAAATACACGGAATATGTAAAAGATGCACTCGTTCAAGACTTTCCTTCCCCTGTTTCCAAAAATTCCAAAATGACACATCAATTTTTTCTTAACCAAAAGGGCAAAATCGCTTCTGACGGAGTGATTTTCTTCTGACAAAATTGACGCTGTTACTCCTTTAAAAAACATAAAAATCGCTGCCGGTCCAAAAAAAAATTTCTTTTTTCTTTAAAATCGCTGTTGTGATTTTTATTTTTTTAACAACGTTGCCCCAGCAGCATTTAAAAAATAGAAATAGCTGCTATAGCAGCCATTTTCTTAAAAAAGTTCAATTTTTTTTATTAAAAATTCTCGAGGCGAGGACTGCTTAAAAAATAATGGGAAATCGCTCCGCGTGTAGCGATTTTAGTTTAAATTTTTTTTAAATAATTGCTGCCATTAAAATTTTAGGGTTAAGGACTAAATTGATCACAATTTATGATACATAAAGGACCATTTCCATCAACTCCATACATTAAGGACCAAATGGAATCAAAGACCATACATTAAGGACCATTTTGATCATTTTCTCATAAAGAAACAGTCCCGGAAAACTTAAAGCTATAGCCTATAGGAAATATACTGCATTTAGAAATACACCTCAAGCTCATAGCACAGAAGAACCAAATGTGAAAATATTGATGGACCACAACAATCCATCAAAACTGAGCAGCAGAAAACTCACCAGGATCACACGATTGATAAAACTTCTCGACATCTGCATAATTTTTTAAAAAAAATCAAGAACATCATAATTAGCAAAACCAACAAAATTCAGAAACACCCAGAAAGAAATTATGCTCAAAACCCCATAAAAGTGCATGAAAATTCTAAGAAAAAAAAAGGAAACAACACTACAAACCTGTAGTTAGTGCTTTGATTAAACCAGCTCTACGACCTTTGAAATCGTTGAATACTTCTTCTACAGTCCTAGGTACCGTATTTTCCATATTTCTAACAACCCCACAAGAAAAAAATTGAGTCTTTGAGAAAAAACAAGAAGTGGGTTGAAGAAAATTAGGGTTTTCCCCCCAAGAACTAGGGTTTCCTCTTCATGTTACCCAAACTTAAAAATTAGTTTGCTACGTACTGTGAAAATGAAGATTCATAAAGAGAAAAACTCAATTTTTTATGAGAAACTGTGAGAAGTAGAGAAATTGTAAGAAACGGATATAGAAAGAGAAAGAGAACAGCAGGAAGAAAGAGGAAAGTGGGGTGGTGGGGAAAGGGTTTTAGCAGCAGCATTTATTTTAGTTTTTTTTTTTTTGGTAAATAGATACATGTAGCACTAGTGTACGAATACTTGGATCTATTGGTTCTTTCAAAAAAAAAATGTGGCAGAAATCTGATGTGAAATGTCTTTTTATTTGTTGTTAAATTATAGTAATACTCCCAACTTGAGAATATTTTATTACTAGAATTTAGGATGAAGATTTTGCCTTGGAGAATGGAGAGGGATTCTTCTGTCTTCTTTTCTTTCTTCTTGTTTGATGATGAGACAGAGGTGTAAAAAAAAGAAGGCTATGATGTTTGTGTTTTGTGGGTTTTGATTTTGACATTTGTTGTTTCCAATAAAAGTTGGGGGATATAAATACCACGGATAGCTTATTTGGGTTTTATAGTTATCAAGAGGTTTTACTTTTACTCAAATGAGAAAAGTATAAAGGATTTTTAAAAAGTTAAATATACCTTTAATTTAATAGTCGTGAAAAATGATTTGAGAATCATGAGATTTGGATACAAAGATGAACAAAAAAAATTGAGTGATAGGGTGAGAGTTTTAAGAGATAGCGGATAACACATGTAATTAGTCCAAAAGAATTGTTGGCTTCAATTGCACCATTGTTCCTTCGGAAGCAATCTTCATCCTTTTTTTCTGGGCTATGGTAAGTTGAATTTGCTAACCTAAAAATTAATCTTATTGTGATTTTATTTACGGTTCCCAACTAATTTTGGGATTAATTTTCAGGGTTTTGACTTATTTGTTTGTTACTTTTGCAAATCAACTTATTGGTGAAAAAGCGGAGATTAAGTTAGAGAAAGAGGGAAGAGGTTGTAATAGATGTGAGAGAGCAAGTGTACCTATTGGGTTGCGTAAATATTTCTTCTGATGAAATAAATCATAGCAAAGGCGGTGATTTGAGTATAAAGACAAACTCCAATATTGAATTAAGGTGAGTAGCTTTTTCACTAGTTTTTACATTTTTTGATAAATCAAGTTAGACTGAATTTCTTTTTTTCATACGTATACGATTCAGAAGTTGTGTATTAGGTTATTCTTATAGTTCTTGCTTTTGATATCAATATGTTTATGTTATTGTGTGAGATTTCACTGGGTACGTGGATTGTTCTTCCTGTCAATCACTTAGATTATTCCAATTTTCAGAGGTTATAACCTACTATCAAAAGAGGTCATGGTTGGGTAGGTTCATTCGGAATGCGATTATGGGTATGTATGGAAAGTTTTAGTCTTTGGAGATTGCACAGCAACAGTTTGATGAAATTCCTGAGAGAGCTGTTGCAGCAGATTGGAATGCTAACAGCTTATGGCAGTGTGATTGAAGCTGTTGAATTGTTGTAGAAGATGAAGAAAGAAAATATTGAAGCAGATAGAATAACCTATATTGGGGTATTAAAAGCTTGTAGTCATGGTGGACTGGTATAAAGGATAGACCTTCATAAGTTTTAAGCAGGTTGTTGTTCCGGTACTCAAAACTATCACAAAAGTTTGGGAATTCCTCATAATAAATACAAAAGTAAAAAGTGAAAATGGATCTTCAAACACAAGATGATAACAGGCACAATTTCTTTTAATCTAAAACACAATCCGAAAGCAAGATAACAGAAAGCAAATGTTCATGAAATGGACATCCCAATTCCATCAGCAAACATTTAACTTTTGACATTTGATAATTGAGCTAAAACTCCTACACCTTCCAACATCACCACTTAATTGTTCTTGCCACAAATTCTAGACTTTAGCTCTCTTGCTACTGCAACTAGGACACTTGTACTGCTTGATATGCTCAGCTTTAGCTGGAGTGATCTTCACACATTTTCCATGGAACCATCTCTCGCAAATATCACAGCAAATCCAGAATTCATCAGTCGCATAATTATCACCACAAGCTCCACAGAGAGTTGCTCCTTGTTCATCCTCTTCTTCTTCTTCCTCCTCCCCACTGTCGTTCTCCATTTTAGATGGAGACACCTTTACTGCCTTGAGTTGGGACTCTGGCTGTCGAGGCTGCAAATCAAAGAGGATGCAGAAAACATATGCTCAAACAAAATGGAAAAAAAAAAAACAGTAATTCTATATGTTAGGTTAAGTATATGAGAACCTTTCCACTTGATTTGCTTTTGTTGCTATTGTTGTGAGGGGGATCACGTGTCTGTTTAGCAGCTCCGGTAACAACTTCAAACACTGTTGGGAGATCATTTATCATTTGGAAAAGCCTCTTCCTGTATACATGATTTCCAAAATAAAACAATTATTCTCTCTAAATATATCTCAGATAACCATTAAACCAGTGGAAGACACATTTATGAGATTGGACTAGCTAGGCAAACTATCCATACACTTGACAAAATATAAGCCAAATTTAAGTTGAACATTTCTGGACATGTACACATGATCACGGAATCTCATGCACCAGTTTCCCAGTATAAAATCCAGTTTATAATGATTTCAGTCATAGTTTCACATCCAGAAGTTTCTCTAACCTACAATAGCAGCAGATACAAAAAGTAGACAACCCAAGGGTATAAAAGAGGGGCAAAAGACCTGCTACTCAAAAATTGCTCCAAGTATTATACAGCATTTGTGCTGTCCCGACATGTTTGACATTCTTTGCCTACTCAACTAAGCACTAACTTATTCAATGATGCTACAGCCAATAATAACAGAATGATCTCTCAACATGTCTGAACTACTGTTCACTCAACATACTATTTTATTCAATGATGATATATCCAAAAACACCAGCTGAAGGTAAGCATCTCAACATGTCAGGCATCCTTGGTTCTAAACCAAATATTATCTGATCCAATGATGCCACAAACTATGTCACTATGCAAATGAATCTGCTTTTGTCTAATAACTAGCACCTAATAACCTTCTCCAGAATAGTGAAAGGACAAAGGGCTTTGCAAATCTATATTCCATATTTATATGGTAATGATAAACAAATTCTATAGAAACCTAAAAATGGAAGATGTCTGGAATTTCACTCCAACAAGTCATCAGTATGGTCACCAAGACAAAGAAATAAGACATCTTTTTTTTTTTTGATGAAGTAATTATTATATTGCAGGCATCAAGTAGATGCATAATAGTTACAAAAGTACAGTAGCAAAGGGTCAGCTCTCCTTTACATTGCTAGTTAAGAGTCAGGGAGCTGACACAGTTCAGAAAGGAACCAGGGGAATCTAGAGGGGATAAATAAACCAACTATACAAAAACATGAGGCAATTAGCTTTTAGAGATTGGTAGGTAGTTGTATATTTCATCAAAGCATCTTCTATTCCTATCATTCCAGATACTCCAAAAAATGGCTGCAGGTATCATCTTCCAAATTCTCTTGATGGTGTTGTCAACTTTCAAAGCAACTCCAGCTTATCAGTACATCTTATCATCTTTACATGACACAGAAAATATGAAACACTGCCTAAATGAACTTTGGATGAAGGTGGACTTCTACATATTGCCCAAATTATCTCACTGCTAGAAATTCTCCATTCCAGAGTTCCAACTTAGTAATCCTAATTACAGCTAATACTTATACTTCAGAGTTTTACTGTTATAAACTCAATATATTTGCACCTTCTTGGTGCTTTTGTATATAAAGTATATCCTTAGAATGAAAAAGATGTTTTAAACTCAACACCATCAATCAGTCACAACTGTCTATAAGAGCCTTAATATGTCAGTGAAGCAGAACGATTGGAGTAGATTAACGGCAAGCATAAGCTCGTCTAATTATGATGAATTCTAAATACTGAATCTTGGAGAGATGAAGCAGATAAGGGAATCAAACCCACCTTATCTGGGATTAGGCCTAGTTCATGATTGATTGATTGCTGGGTTAACATACCGCAATGAGAGGCAACAAACAGGTCAAACACTACGTGGTAAGCAAGAAGACAACAAAAAGGAAACATATACCTATTTCTTCAACAGAGATCAAAGGGAAAAAGGGAGCTCTAACTGTATGGGTTAGAAAGTACAGTGCTGGAAAAGAGACGTTCATACATGATTGTTGACTAAATTTCTTCAGTGATTTTTCATGGAAAATTATCTCAGCTATGGAAAAAAAAAAAGGACAGCAATCACAGAAGCTTATCTCCCTAAAATTGATCAATGGAGCATACAAGTTCTGGATGCACCAAATGCTTGGGGAGATGAATTTTAAGAAGCATGAGGGGAACTGCTATGGGAAAGAAATAGCCCAACATATGTCACTAGATAAACCCCAGAAGATAAAAAGAAATGCGAGCAAAAATTACCAAACAGACACGGCAAAGAGGGTGGATGCTATTTTACCTTTCACTCTTGCCGAACCCAAACCTTGCACCAAAGTAAAATGCAACAGAAAGCAGCCATGAATCACTGTGAACAGCAACAAGTGATAACCAGTCTTTTTCTTGCATTCCATCACGTGCAAAATTTATGCCCAATGCTGGTTCCGGAAGTTCTGGAGGGACCTCTTCCACCGGGAGGTTTACTTCCCATGTTTCATTAGGAAGCCCATAGAGACACAAGTTCTCCTTTTCTGAAAGTATACATATGGTTAAATTCAGAAATTTTCATAAACAATTCACAAATGATCTGCATAAGTGATCTAAAATAACAAGAATTGAACATCCAGTGAGGGGAAACACACAACAAGCCTCAAAGCAAGGAAACAAAGGGGAGAAGAATAATGCAACACAAAAGCAAAATCTAATATCCTTAAAACTTCCAGAGAAGGACTAAGAACATTTAAGAGAGAGATACTATCATAAGGACTGACACAACTGTTTGATACAGAGAGGGAGTAGTCTATTGATATACATCGTCACAAAGGTCATAATCAGCAGTTCCATAAATGGGAGCAAAATGAAATAAAGAATGTAAACCAGTTCTTTAAATAGAGTTCTTTAAAGAGATTATAAAATATATAAAAACAGTTAGACACCACATAAAAGAAAGGAGTCCAATGTTCGGGGTAAAGTTACGGTATGTTTCACTGCTATATCAAATACTTCAAAAACAATTAACGAGTGCTGGCACAAAAAAACATCTCTGAAACTGCCAAATACAAACTAAGAATTTCCATGTTTTTCCATAGACCAGAAATAACAGAATCTCCCCAACCCCCAACCCCTAATCCCCCAAAAAAAACAAAATAAGAAAAAAAACTTACCAAGAAAGAGAAAAAAAAAAAGACAAGAACATTTATTAATCATAAGGTGACAGTATAATATCCACCCACTGTAACTACCCTGCCTCCAGAAACCTTAAATACGTATACAGCAAATGCATGCATTTACATTAAAAAAGTCATGGAGACATCAAAGTGCTTTCACACTGCAATAATATGCAATCATATGCGCTTTTACCCACATCATAAACAAGATTAATGATGGTTGGAGACACTGCATCACTGTGATAGAGAAATGATGATCACTGCTACATAAAAGAAGTTTTACATCTCTACTTCCTTGAGAATTGATACCATCTCTACTTCCTTGAGAATTGATACACAGGATTACGATGAGAACACTTATGACATTGACATCCTAACTAAATGACCAATTTATCAAAAGCAAAAAGCGCAAAAAAGCTAAGGTCCGTTGGGGCTTTAAACACAAATAAAGCGTGGGCTTTAATGAAAAAGGATGCAAATTGAAAAAAATACAAAAAACATAAAAAAAATAAAAATATTAGTACAAAACTAATAAATATAAGCATGAATAACAAATCTATGGACAAAGAAATTGAACATTTTCACAATAAAGTGAAATATCAATTGTTAAATGCCTCCTCAGACAACACCCATTTGCAAGGAAAATTTTGTC